TTCTTATTGACTCAAGATAGAAGTATAATTTCTTGCCTTTAACATCAAAATACAGCCAAATTTGATAAATATGACAATGGAAAAATCTAACTCTAAAGAAAGCTCAAAAGAATACATGTTGAATAAAAACACTTTTTGTTTGGTAACACAACTATAAAGTTAAAGCCCCCAGGTCTTGGGCCTGTACAGAATGGCAGTCAGACTGTGCAGGGTGGGAAGCAAAGGAGATATGAGCAGTGGCAAGCTGTTGGTTATCTCAGGTGAATTCGTAACACGGATTGCTGTCAAGGCCGGCTCTCACTGCAGGCGGCAATTCCTCATGGACATTTGGCATTATTAAAAGTTACTCACCAGATGACTTTAAAAAATAAAAGTATGACCTGATACAAGGTATTCTACACCAAGAATTATGATTAATGTTAATTGTGGGTACCTGAGGCTTCTTGCAACAAACACTTAAACAAACAGTTCTGTGCAGCTGTGGTTTTCCTCTCAATAAATGAACAGGTAGATGTGTATTACTAGGCACACTGTTCTTTATTGAAGGAATGATTAGGCTTATTTTGATGGTTCACGTAATACTAAACTTGATTAACTGGATCACAGATTCTTTTCTTTTTGGATATAACCAGACATTAGAAATATTAATGAAGAGGGCTGAAGAGAGGCGTGATCTAAGATCTAGAGTATATACTTCTGTCCCAATATTAACACATCCTTTCGGCCTGTACAACTTCAGCATGTGTTTAGTGTACATTAAATGATTTCTGTTCTTACTATATATCAGCCTGTGTTCTTTTTTGCTACTTGTTTCAAATCTTGAAACAACACAAAAATTTCAGTATTTGGTTATCTAAACTACATCACAATGCTTTCTACACTTACAAATTGCATTAACATTTTTTGTTGGATTATATTTACTGATTAGTTTTTGTATTATAGCATATATTTTTATATTATGGTATATAATTTTATATTATAGTATAGCTCACCACAGTCTTGGAGCATGGATAGATGAGATTCTGTAAAATTTTGTCTGAGGCAGATAATAGTGTTTCTAGCATTTAGTCACTGTAGAATTCGGAAGAAATTCTAAAGTGACATTTTATGTACAGGCTAAGAAATGTCAATGATCCAGGCAATTTACTGAAGGCAAAACAATTATTATAGGAAGAAAAACTAGCCTGAATACCATGTCAGGTGAATAAGAAGCTCTGCGGGCAGAACGGTAGTAATTTGTGAGAACTGCCTTGCTGCACGGTCAGATGGCAGATACAGAACAAGAAATATTGGCACTTTCACCCAAAATTTAGGAGAAGCTCATTAGGAAAGGAAAAGGACATTAAGATAACCAGCCAAAATCAACAAGACAACAACTCAGACATGACTCTCCAGTTAAAATCATTTGCTTCCATTAATCATGCGCCAAGTCTAAGTTCATTAGAAGAGTTAGAAGAGTCAAGAGGCTGCTTTGAAGAGAGGATGACTTTTCCTATGATTAGAAACAACCTTGGCACAAGAGCATGGAGACATTGAAGTCATATGGATAGGGAACATTCCTTTAATTTCTAGTGAGTTTTAGGCTCCAGGTTGACCAACATAATTCATTGGCACCATTGACTTAAGACTGCTTTGTAAGTGAAAATCAGCTTTTCAGATTTAAGTTGTTATTGTGATCAGCAGTATAATTAAATTGTTGGAAAGTGGGAGCAACCTCTATATCCCTAACTAGTCAGTACTTTTTGGTCTAGGTGCTGTAATGACTGAGCCCTGTTCCTGGTCACGGCCACATGGCCTTGGACAAGCCACCCTTCCACTGGACCTTCCAAATAAGAGAATTCTAATGATCTTTTCAATGTTAGCATTCTGTAACAATGCAAGGCAGGCTTTCTATGCTTTGGAGGGTAAGCATAGAAACTATGAAATCCGGACTCTTTCTCCAAAGAAATGCAGAAACCTTTCTTAACCTCAACAATTTCCCAATAATTTCAGGGGTTACTACATGTCTGAAGTCCACCCATGGGCCACCAGGTGAAAACTCTGACCTGAGTTCTGGTCATTCATTCAGCAAATACTTACTGATGCCTGCTAAACCCCAGATTCTATGTTGGGTAATAGGATAATGACGATTGTCCCAGATCCTTATGGAAAAGGATATTTTTAAAGGCAAAAATAAATCAATGCTGAGCTAAGTTAAGAGACTTGATAAAATACTGAGGTTAACCTTAAGCAGAAATCTCACAAGTCAGCCCCATAAAGCATAAATATATTGGGAAATGGTGGCTACCTATATTTAGTTCTTTCCAGCACATCAAAGACCTGATGTTTCATTGGCTAAGAATTTTTGCTCCCTGGCCTCAGAACTACAAAGGTTCACATTTCCACCTTATGTGAAAAAGGATAAATAATAGTCCTGACCAACACACATTTCAGGGGAGATTTCAGCACAGAAACCTTTGCAGGTGTTTGTGTCAATGAGGAAAAGGGTGAAACTTAGGATTTGAAATTTACTGGCTGTTTAGCAAGGTCAACTGCTGGTCAAGCTGCTCGACTTCTTTGAACCTCGGCTTCCTAATATATGAAATGGGAATCATAACAACTTCAATTTTTTTTTTTTTTTTGTGGAACTGGGGATTGAACTCAGGCCCTTGCACTTGCCAGACAAGCACTTATTCTACTGAACCATCTCCCCGGCCCAATAACAACTTCATTGAGGGTTAGTTAATGTCTGTAAAGCCAGTTCCTTAAAAGGACCCCCTAAACAGAAACACTTGCACCATTCTTGGAATCAAATATGAATTCTAGCCATGAAGGCTGTGTGAACCTTCCCCTAAAGGTAACATCTAATCACATAAGGAGTTTTGTCAAACACAGTACAGACTTCATCTCAGCTCTGTGATCTCGTCTGCCTTCTGTGCTGTCATCTTGGGACTGCTCCGTCTCCGTGATGTTCTGAGCCACACGTCTTGTTGGCTTTCACGGAGCCCTGCACCTTCACGCATGCTCACCTGTCCGCTCTTGGCCGAAGGAATGATTTTCATACTTGTCACTCCTGGTGGTTACGGTCACGTTGTAGAGGCGGCCTGGGGTGAGGGAGCTGAAGGAACAATCGCTGACGGATTTGGCGATGACGAGGGACTGAACCACCCTGCCATCGTGAGAGAGGGTCACTACGTAGTTATCCACCTCACCGGGTGCGGGCAGCCAGGAGACGCTGAGGTAGTCATGGCGGCCTAAGTTGTTCACTGTCACTCCACTCACACTGGAAGGGACTGTGGGTTGAAAAGAGGAGAAAATATGAAAAGAAAAACACAATCAAAAGGTTGGGTCACCTATTGCAGTTAACAAAGCTACAGACTAAGATCTACTCCGATCACCTAGCAGGCCAAGGAAGAGTGAGGATGCCACAGTGACTCCAGGAAGCTGAGCAGTCTTACACCAGGAGGCTGCATGAAACAAAAATGAAAGGAGCCTTTTGGCCCCAGAAATACAAAGATCTCACCACTGCATTTTTAGGGTTTGCTTAGTGTAAAATATTTTAAATGGGAGCATTTTTAATCTGAATGTATTCAGAGGTTCCCTGTTGGAAGGATCCATATAAATCAACTTGAACCAAACTCACCAATGCAGCCGAGGTGTTTAAGGGGAACAGTGAAGAATACAAGAGTTTTGCTGAAGATTGTAGACTTTGGGATAGCTTTGCTCTTCAGGTAAGGAGGTTGCTTACTCCTGGGGGGTGGGGTGGGGTTGATGGCTAACTAGTGAATTGTTTTCTCTTTGCAAAGCATTTCCTGCCCTCTAGTGGCAAGAAACAAACCTTGAAGAAAAAAAATCCTACTCTGACATGGTCTGGAAGCCAGGCCAACAGGGCGAGGCAGCTCTTGTGGTGGGTGACAATGAGCTTTCTGATGGCAAGGACAATGATTTGCTCATATCACTTGGGGATTAATGTGGGGACACTTAGTGAGAGCCCTCTATTCACCAGTGGGACAAACACGGGGAGGCGTGGAAACCTCCTGGGGGCTCCCTGGCTAGAAGGACATAGACAGTGAGTTAGCAGACACTGTGTTGGAGGTAAGTGTCTGATCAATAGTGTCTGCCACTCGTGAGCGCGGAATAAATCTTTCAGTGTGTATGAGGTGCATTATGGTTTTCACCACCAGCTGATCAACTTTGGCTGATTATTTTAATAATTCTTAATATCTGTATATTGCTCAGAAGGGACGGGATTTGGCTGGATAACTTCTGAGATTCCTAATATCACTGTGATCTGATTTTGTGAGTTAATCCCCAAGTCTATCTTACACCAACAGCTATAAAAAGCGCCCTATTCAGGAATTCAGCTAGTGCTATGACATTGTATGGACACAGAAGATATAAAGTTAAAGCTTTTATCCATAGAATTTATATATTATGGTATATTTCCATCCTTCCATTCCCCTACTATCCACACATTCCTTGGTTAGTCTTTCAAAAAATTTTTTACTTTAATTCTTTTTTTGTTTTGTTTCTTGAGGCAGGGTTTCACTGTGTAGGTCAGACTGCCCCTGGACTCATTGTGTAGCCCAGGCTGGCCTTGAATTTGGAGCAATCCTCCTGCCTCAGCCTCCTGAGTGCTGGGGTAACAGCATGCACCACCGCACCTGGCTTAAGGTTTTTA